AAATATAAATACACATATATGAAGAAAAAAAAAACAACTAAATGCTCTCTGGWATTGTTCTGGGAGCCGGATTTTAGATTCTCCTAGATTTTAAATCAATACTTTTAATACTTAAGTACAAAAAATATCAGATACTTTAAGACTTGTACTCAAGTAATATTCCTAACATACCAAAGTATTTTTTGTAAAACACTTGTACTTTTACTCAATTATCACTTTATGGTACTTTATACAACACTGCGTTTAGGTTGCAGAGACATTTAGTTAACCTCTTCATAGTTATTTCCCCTTTCATGAGGGACCCTCTGTTCCTTTGGCTGTCTATTTTAAAGCACTAATTAAGTTCAGYCCATTTACCATTAATTTATTTTGAATTGTGTGTAAATGTTCTAGAGATATGTCAAGACCAGACAGCTCTTCTGCACCACTTTCTTTGAATGACTACATTATCAAATGAATAATAAAATACATAATAGCACAACTAGGGCCTGAAGGGTTCCCCTCTGAACATAATTTTTGGAACAAATTGGGGATGTTTGGCAGTCACAAACATGTCTTTTCAGCACCATCACCACGAGCTATGGCCAACATAAACATCTCATACATCTGTGAAGCACGGCTTGATGATTTGGGCTTGTTTTGCAGCCATATGACTTAGACACWTTGAGTAAACCCCTTTTTTATTTTCTATTTACACCACATAGATGCCAAAGTATGCTTATTGTTGTCTGTGTTCATTTGTTTTCCAAGAGTGTTTATATTTCTTCCTTTCTAGTGTGCTCTATTTTTTCCTTTATATTTTATCTCTAACACTTACTTGAACAGTTGCAGCTGTAATAATTGCAWTTTCCCCCTGGGATCAATAAAGTATTCTGATTCTCACTACCAAACTATTCTAATTATAATTCCAAAAGTAACATCACAAAGGTTTTTATAGAGATTTGTTTGATGGCATCTCCTAACTGTCTGATTTAGCTGCTGAACAGGGGRTCTTGGGAAACCAGTTTGCTGTTCCTCTTTGTCAGTCACATTGGTATATTTAGTGTTAAAACTGAAGAGCATTGTTTATTGAGTTGTTAATTGTTAACATACGGTGCCTGAAAACAAACAAGAGATTTTAGATGWCCTCTGAAACTGCACTTGGACTTGATGCTTTTATTCCGACGAAGAAAAGGAGAAAAAATAAAACTTGCAGAAAATAAGATTTTGCATTGACTGCACTTTAATAATCAATGATGGAATCTCAGTACCGCCACTTTGGAGAATCTGATGGCAGAGAGTCTAATATCTCCACACAGACAGGTAAAGCTTACAGGTCATGTGATTTTAACTCAGGGGGTTTCAGATTACAYCGACTTAGTTTGTCATTGTTTTTCAGGAATAAAAAGATTAGTGCCTTACATCCTTTACAGCATCCTGGRGCTGCTGCTGCTGGTTCTGCTGCTGGTAACAGGAATAAATTGTACAGCTTTACAGAAGTGGCTTGTTGAGATTCTATCATATGGTCATGGTATAAATATACATTTTCTATAATCTGCTGTTCCTCAACCGAACAAGGAAATAAGTGATGTRAAGCTGCACCTTGAGAATACAAACAATGGAGGGTCAACTTCTAACTCTGGTAAAACATAAATATAACATCAGCTATGAGTTTAAAATCAGCCTTAACTTTGTGCCTTTTATCTGATCACCTGTAGCTTCCAAACCTGAATGTTTAACAGCAGTAAAGGAAGTGTTTTTGGAAGATCTTGTTCCAGTTAGAGGTAAAAGGTTAAACACTTTAGAGTCAATAAATATGTATTTAGAGGTTTCGAGTCAGTCGGTCTGTCTGTTTTTTCTGAATCCTGATAAAACCAGGATCATGCAGAGCAGGATGGTTGAGTTTTCAGAGGAGCTGCTACCTGCTCTCCACCTCTGTTGCTGCGTGGCAGAAAGCAGAGGAGCTGTGCAGGTCACACACAGGACACCTGCTGGTTCTCAACAACGTGGAGGAACTGGTGAAATCCTTTAATGTTCCAACTTAACCCAAACTTTTTTATTTTCTTAACTCTCCATTTTAAATTCCAGGATTTCATTTCGAGAATAGTCAWAATCACATACTCTTACTGGATTGGACTCGTGGAGCGACAGCAGGAGGGCCACTGGAGCTGGGTGGACGGAACTGACTTTAAATCAACCCCAAAGTGAGACGACTGTGTGACSACTTTACGTCAGGTATGGAACTGGAACAAAGGTCTCATGCGCATCTTCTCKTGCCTGAGTTCAGATTCTGGGACGTAGGTCAACCAGATGACTGGGACCTGAGAGAGAGCGGAGAGGACTGCGGGCAGCTTCACGAATCTACCAGACGCAAGCGCAAGGTGTGGAACGATGCCGACTGTAGCCTGGAGTACAGGTACATCTGTGAAGCCCAGGCCTGAAAGACGTCCTGTGACATGGATGCAGAGCCGGCTCTTGGCATAGGCGAACTAGGCGGTCGCCTAGAG